CCCTGGCACAGCAAAGGACACCAAGCAGCCCCAAGGGGTCCCAGCTGCAGGTGAGGGGCCAGCAGGCCCCCTGTGCCCCCCCAGAGCAGCAGAGCCTCGGCGCAGGACGGGAGGTGAAGACGGATTATGAAAGTGTTTCTTTGCTTTGCTTTTGAGAAAGGAGAACTTCAAAGGGGCCATTTATCACCAGACAAAGAGAGTCGCGAGTTATTTGCAAAGTGTAGGGGAGAAACATTAATTACCAGTGTGACAGACACTGCTGCTGCTGGGTGTCCTCCTGCCCACCCTGTGCTCTGTCCCAGCAGGTCCTGGGTGGCTCCTGTCCCCCCACGGGCCAGCCCCAGCTCCTCTCTGTCTCCTCCTCCTGTGCCAGGTGGACCTGCAGGGCTCTGGGTGAGGGCACCGGGGTGATGGATGTCCCCAGGGAGATGGCTGTCCCCACCAGGGGTGCACCCACATGGCTGGAGGGGCAACGTGGGGGTTCCCCGTTGTGTCCCCAGTGCTGACACTGCTGCCAGCACGGCCCACCCGGTGCCAGCCCTGCCTGAGGGCTCCTGTGGGCTGAGACCAGACATGGTGGACACCAGATGGGGATGAATCCATCCCTTCAATCCATCCCTTCAATCCATCCCTCAATCCATCCCTGAGCCCCAGAGCATCTCTTCCTGGGTGATGCCCAGGTTCATATGAATCCATCCCTTCTATCCATCCTTCAATCCATCCCTTCAATCCATCCCTCAATCCATCCCTTCAATCCATCCCTTCAATCCATTCCTTCAATCCATCCCTTCTAATCCATCCCTTCAATCCATCCCTCAATCCATCCCTGAGCCCCAGAGCATCTCTTCCTGGGTGATGCCCAGGTTCATGTTTGCTGTGCTTGGGGCAGGGGGCACACAGGGGGAAGAGGAGCAGTTTCCACACCCAAGCCTCGCTCTGTAGCTTGGTGACAGCTGGGACATGTCCCTTCCCTGGGAGCTGAGTGGGGGTGTCTGTGGGGTGTCTGTGGGGTGTCTGTGCTGGGGCTGCATGGGACAGGGACAGCAGGGCTCAGCCCAGAGATGAGGCACCCTGGGACTGAGCCTCTCTCCCAGAAGCTCTGCAGAGGGAGAGCCAAGGCTGCGCCCGTGCTCTGGGAGGGAGAAGACAATCAAAAAGGTAATTTGCATCCTAAACAAACGTTCCAACCCTGACTTCCCCGGAGGGTGCAAGTGGCACCTCTGTGGGGCTGTCGGGGTGCGGGGCAGAGGGCTCCCCGTGGCCCTGGCGAGCCAGCCCCGGGCAGGGCGGGCAGCTCTTCCTTTCATGTCTGACCCCTCCCGAAACCACAGCTTCCCTTCGCCCGCGCGGGGATCAACCGCGGGTCATATTTAATAAAGGTGGGGATGGGAGAAGGCTCAAAACATTACATCACCTCGTGTGGGGGAGGCGGAGGCAGGCAGGGAATGCGAAAATCTCAGCGCAAGTGGGGGCAGAGGAGAAAAAAAAAAATTCTCCGTGAGGGGGTTTAATGGCCTGCTTTGGTGGGAACTCTCTTGCCCACTGCCCGCGAGGTCAGAGGTGTCTGCACGCGCTCAGGCGTTAAATGAAACAAACTCTAAGGGAAAAACGAGGGGCAGATACCAAACACGTAAATGTGCCCGTGGCAGAAATCCCCCGGCGCTGTGCCCGCCCCGGTGCCTCGCAGGAAAAGTCCCACCGGTGCCCTGTGGTTGCTGTGTCCCCACTCTGCCTGGTGCCAGGGGACACGAGGCCGCAACAGCCAGGACAGGGGGTGCCCTGGCACCTGGCTCCTCTGCCGTGCGGTGCCAGGAGCAAAGTCCCCGTGCCTGAGCCGTGCCCGGGGCTGACCCCGCGCTGCCCATGGCTCTGCTGCCAGGGGGGAGCTGCAGCCTGGCTCAGGGCAAGCACTGCTGCCCTCCGTGCTGATGGAGGACGTGGCTGTGGGAAGGGATTGCCTGGAGCAGGCGGTTGCAGCGGGATGGTTTTCCCCTCCTTGTGGACGGTGTGCAGGGATGGGCTGCTGGTTTGGTGCCTGGAGTCCCTGAGATGATGGGAATGGATGGTGTGAAGGGATGGGCTGCTGGTTTGGTGCCTGGAGTCTCTGAGATGATGGAGAGTTGATGGTATGAAAGGATGTGCTGCTGGTTTGGTGCCTGGAGTCCCTGAGATGATGGGGAGTGGATGGTGTGAAGGGATGGGCTGCTGCTTTGGTGCCTGGAGTCTCCGAGGTGATGGGGAGCAGGAGGTGAGGCCATCCCAGCCCTGGACCACCGCGGGCCGGCTGTGAACCCGGCGGCCTCGGGGGGCTGCGGGCAGAGCAGAGCGCGCTCGGGGTAGAACCCTCCCGGGGCAGCCGCCCTGCGCTCCCAGCCGCAGCCGCCTCCCGCTGGAAGCTCGGGCTGATGCTCCCGCCGGGCTGGGGCTGGGAAACTATGTGCTCCCAGCCCTGCGGGGCACCCAGCGGCCCCCCGAGCCGTAATGACCGCGCTCTTCTGCTGAGAGGAGTTAATGAGCTGTGCCGGACAACGATGGGAAAAGGCCGCTCGCAGCCAGGCTCAGACATCGCTGGCAGGAGGAAGGGGGAAGAGCAGTGGGGTGAGAGAGATGGACCAGAAAACGATATCCACTTCATTAGCCAGGTGGTTCCAAATGTGTGGAAACAGGACAAGGTCCAGGTCACCCACTGTGACAGAACACCATTATCATGCCGTGCCATGAAGCCTGTGCAAAGACCAAGTCAAAGCTCAGCAGCCCACTTGAAAGGGACTGGGGACCCTCTGGGAGCAGGAGCCAGGCTGTTCCCAGGCCGGGCAGGGTGGGGGTGTCACAGCCCGTGCCGGGGGGTCTGGGCACTCAGCCTGGCTCCTGCAGAGCCTCCCACAGACCCTGGGCAGGAGGGGCACACGGGGAGCGCGGGGCACGGCGGCTGTGAGGCAGTCCCGGTGCCACGGAGTGCCTGGCACAGCGACACTGGCCCTGCACGGTCCCTCAGCCCCACGGGTGGGTGGTTTGGTGTCTCTTCCATCACCTGGGATCTGGAGAATTTTGGGGGGATCAGGGACCTGCTGTGGTGTGAAGGATGAGGGCACCTGTGGGTGCAGGGAGCTGGTGGGCAGGTGACAGTGACCCTCGGAGGTGGGAGAGCTGGGCACAGGGGGAACACTCAGCAGTGACCTGCTCCCTGCTCCCCAGAGAGCCGAGGTGCAGGGCACAGCAGAGCTGGGGAGCCCCTCACCCTCTCTGGGGATTCACACGGTGCCAGAGGGCTGTGAGGGAGCTGCTGTCACCTCCCCGTGCACGTGGCACCAGAGCTGGGAATGGGCTCGGCTGGGCCGAGGGCTCCGAGCTGGGAGCCAGGAAAGGGCTTTTTGGGATTTTTCAGTTCTCTCTTCTCTAGCTTGTGCTCAGGCTGCTGCGTGGCCGCTACAAACCCTGTGTGGCCATGGTGTGCTCACCCACAGCCTCCCTCCTGACACACGGAGAGGTTCCTGCTCCCTGCAGGTGCCTGGTCCCCAGCATCCCACTCTGCCTGCCAAAGGGCAGGGGGCTCTGAGGGTGCTGTGCTGCCATCCTGGCCCCGAGCTGCCCCTGTTCCAGGGGGCAGGAATGGTTTTATGGACAGTTCAGCCTGTTCAGCCCGTGCAGTCCCAACACCTGCGCCGCCGGCGGGCACAGGCTGTTCCCTGCCCAGGAGCAGGGCTTTTCCCTTCCCTTCCCGTGCCTCTGCCTGGCTCTGCAGGAACCAAACAGCCACCAGCTCCCCAGGGTGTTCACCTGAGGAGATCCACAGCCCCGGGGTCAGGGACCAGCAGCTGAGCCCCTGAGGAGCTCTGGCGCTGCGTTTGGGGTCTGCCCTAGGTGCTGGTGGCTGGCAGGATTTTCTGTGTGCTTTGAGATGGGCAGGTAACTCTGGGTGCCCTGGAAAAGTCTGAATCTGGGCTGGGAGCACTGGGTTTGAAATTGTTGCCCTTTGCCAGGAGCAGCAGGAACGGGAAGTGCTTTGGGCAACTGGGCAGTCATGAGTGGAGATTCCAGGCCTGCCTTCCCCTGAAGGTCCCAGGCTGCTCTGTGCCCTGCTCTGGGTGTGCTGCTGCCTCTTGTCTTGTGCCTGCTTTGATTTGAGTGAATTTGTTGATCTTTGGGACATGGTGCATTCACAGCGGTAGGAAAAGCAGGTTTTGTTCAGACCCCAGAGCACAGCTTGGATCTCTTCCCCTGCCCATTCCCAAACCTGCTCCTGCTCCCAGCCCTGGCTGCTGCCAAGGGTCAATGGGGGCTTCGTGTCCCCTGTGACCTCTGTCCCCGCAGTGTCCCCTTTGCTGACTGGCTGTCCTTCCCTGTCCTGCACAGCTCAATGGCAGTCAGCCTGTCCCCAGAGCTGCCCCACAGTGGGGGCCACGACCCCCACTGGTAACCCCCGTCCTGGGGGTGCTCCCCTGGACCCTCACAGCCCGTTCCTGCTCTGTGCCGGGGCTTGGGCAGCAGGACCCCACACATCGGAGGACTGCGGGGAGAAACCTCCCCTGCGAGACCAGGAGGGCTTCCCATCTTGGCCCCCTTCCAGCGCGGGCACAGCGCCCGAGCCAGCCGAACCCACCGGGGGTCTCGGCTCGGCCCCGGGGGGCGTGGGCAGAGAAAGGCGCTCCCCTCCCGGGGTACCACCGGCACCGGGACCCCCGACGGCAGCCAGGTCCGGGGCGCTGGGAGCCGCCGTCCCGCGAGCACCGACCCGCCCGGCGCTGCCCCCGCCGCTCCCCCGGGGCCTCCCGCCGGCCGCGAGGCAAAGTCCGCCCCGGCGGGCGCTAAGGGCCGGGCCGAGCCGTGCCGGGCCGGGGCGGGGGCCGGAGGAGAGGCTTTGGCGCTGATTTGCATAAGGTATAATGCCTTATGGTGGCGGTCATGGCTTGGTAGAGCGCGGCCCGCGGCCCGCAGCAGCCGCGGCCGGGGCGGAGCGGGAGGAGGGCGGCGAGCGGCGGGCGCGCCGCGGCCCCGGGAGGATGGTGTCCCAGCTGAGCGCCCTGCAACGGGAGCTGCTGGGCGCCCTGCTCAGCTCCGGGGCCACCAAGGAGGGGCTGATCCGCGCCCTGGAGGACATGGTGCCCGCCGCCGGCTTCGGCGTCAAGCTGGAGAGCCTTCCGCTGTCTCCCGGCGGGCCCCCCGACGGCAGGGCCGGGCTCCCGCCGCTGGCCAACGGGCACGGCAAGGGCAAGCTCTCGGGAGACGAGGGCTCCGAGGACGGCGACGACTTTGACACGCCGCAGATCCTCCGCGAGCTGCAGTCGCTCAACACGGAGGAGGCCGTGGAGCAGCGGGCGGAGGTGGAGAGGATGATCAGGTACCGGCACCGGCACCGGGCGCGCCCCGCGCCGCCGGGATCCGCCCGCAGGCGCTCGGCACCACGGCCCCGGCCCCGAGAGCCCTGCCCGGGGGTCGTTCCCGCTGTGTGGAAGCCGGTGAGGGCTCCCGGCGCTCCCTGCTCGGTGTGTCCCACCCCGTGGCGGCTCCCGGGGCTCCCTGCCCGCCCCGCGGTCAGTCCCGGTGCCGGCTCCCGGGGCTCCCTGCCCGCCCCGCGGTCAGTCCCGGTGCCGGCTCCCGGGGCTCCCTTGCCCGGCGCTGCCTCGTCCGGACCCCGCGGCGGAGGGGAGCGGGCAGGGGGAAGCCGGAGCCGGCGGCCGCGTCCACCCCCGCCCCGTCGGGGCTGGCGGTCTCCGGTAGCGGCGGGGCCGGGGCTGCCGGGGCCGCGGGGGCTCGGAGCGGCCGCCGGCTCCGTCCGTCCGCGCCGGCGGCTCAAACATAAACCGCACCACGTGGAGCCCGGGGCGTTATTAATTTATTTCTATAAATCATCAACAGAAAGATACACAAAGGGCCGCGATCAGGGCGATCGGGCCGGCGGGTTATTCATTGCCGGGGTTGTAAAGCGGACCGGGAGCGGGGAAGGAAGAGGGAACCCCCGACGGCGGCGGCTCCGCTCCGGCCCATCCCGACATGCGGCTCCGCTCCGAACCGAGCCGGGCAGGGCCGGGCCGGGCCGAACGGGGCAGCCCCGTGCTGGGCGGGCGGCACCGACCCCGCTCCGGAGCCCCGGGGGAGCGGCGCCGGTGTGAGCAGGTGGGAGCCCCGAGGGCGGCGGGCACACCTCGGGCTCTGTCCGTGTGTCCCCGCCGGGCGCTGCCGTTCCGGTGCCTGTCGCGATAGCCGGGGCGCGGCCGTGGGTGCCCGTGCCCTCTGCCAGCCTGCGGAGCCCCGGGACAGCCCCGGCTCTGCCCCGGGATCTCGGCAGCGACCCGCTGCAGTCCTGCCCCGGCAGCAGCCGGGCAAGCGGTGCCCTTTGGGGACAGGAAAGTGCCACCCGTGCCCGCCCGGGCTGGGACCCTGCGGGTGCCAAGGGGGCTCCATCCGATGGGCTCCCACCCCTCCTGCGGGGCACGGAGCCCCCCTGGGCGCTCCCCCTGTCCCCGGTGCCCTCCTTGCTGGCCACATCCACCCCCGGGGGTGCTGCGCAGGCTGAGCCCCGGGATCCCTGTGCTCCCACAGGTGTTTCTGTGCAAAGTTTGCCTTGGGTGCAAACAAGAGCGGGCACATGTCCCTGAGGAGCCTTTGCAAAGAGCTCGTGTTTGCTCTGAGGGAGGCCTTTGTACTTGGAGAGGGAGCAGGTAGGGGAGCCGGGAGACACCGACTGCAGCCGTGCTGGGGGCTGAGCCCCCTCTTCCCCGCTCCCCTGGTGTCCTGACCCAGGGCAGGCTCACTGCCGGGCTGTTCCCACATCCCTGGGGCTGCTCAGGAGCCCTGCAGCTCTCTGGGGCCGTGGCTTTGCTGCCCACCCGTGCTGTGCTGGGTGCCGTGGGGTCCCCAGCTCTGGCACAGACACCCCACGGCTCCCTCCCTGCCCATCCCGCCTGCCGGGGCTCACCCACACCTCGCTCAGGCACACAATAAATCCCAGGAGCACCCAGATCCCATCTGTGGGCTGGGGACTTTGGGAAGGCCAGCGGCCCTGGGGACCCAGCAAAGCCACCCCGAGGGGTGTGGGGAGTGCAGGCACAGCTGAGCAGGGAGATGCTGGCCAAGATGGCATTTCTGCAGGGAGCTGGGTCTATAATCCATCTGTATAAATCCTTGGCATATTTATCTGAGGATGTGGAGTGTATTTACCTGGTTTTGAGGCTGACAAAATGGGTGAGCTGCTCTGGGAATCCCTGGGAAGAGGAACAGGCTTTGCCCTCACCTGTGTGTGAGGCTGAATGGGGAAATGGTTCTTTCTCGGGCAGCATTGGCTTTGTGGGGCTAATTTTGTGCCAGGAAAACACCTTTCCGTGGTTTTGGTGAGAAGGACTGTGGAGCCAGGGCTATAAACTGGTTTTCCAGTATTAGAAAGCACTCCTGGGTTGGGTCGGGGTTTTGGTTTTGTTTGTAAGTAAAGTCCTGTTGAAGATGGGACAATTAATGTTTGTTTTGTTTCATTTTGGTGACAGAATCAAAGAATAAGGGCTGGTGTTGACTCAAAAGGTTTTCCTCTCTGGCTTTTTAGGTTACCAAAAAAGAAAGGAAAAAAAAAGAGGCCAAACAAACACTCAAACGTTTCATTTTGGGTCAAGTCCAAACATTTTGTTTAACATGAAACAAAATGTTTGGGTTTGGTTTCAGGTTGTTTAACCCTTTTGAATACGGTCAAGTTGATTCGTAAAGGAAAAATCACTTCTCAGAAATTAAGACCTGAATAATTGTTTTGAAAGTGTAAGTGTGAAACACGTTGGAAATGTCAAGGTGAAGCCTTTTGAAAAATAATTAAATGGAGGGAAATTCTGTGACTTTTTTGCCTAATTCTCAGCTATTTTTCCAACCAAAACGTTGCCAAATTTTGTCTGAATTTCAAAATCTCCTCTGTAGCCCCCGAGTCTCTCATTTGACATTTTCCAAGCGTGCTCTGGGTTTCACTCTGAGGAAACGCTGCCCTGGGCTCGGTTGCGAACCAAACCGCTCTTAGAAATGATAATGAGCTCTGTTTCATTAACTCGTTATTAATCAGTAATTAGCGGGATCAGGGTGGCAGGAGCTGCTGGTGACAAAGGTCTGCCCGAGCCCCTCAGCTCGGGCACGGCGGCTTTGCCCGGTGCCGCTGGGAAGGGAATTTTCTCCACATCCTTCCCCTCGCTTCCCGCTTTCTCCTGGGAACCATCCCATGGAAAGGACCCCCAAAACCAGCGGGGTTCCCCTGCCTGGAGGATGCAGGCTCGGGCACAGGCTCGGGCTCAGGCTCAGGGACTCCAGGAAGGCTCCGTGGCTCCTTCCCGGCTGTGACGAAGCCCTGCTTGGCTCTGCTCCGGTATTTTGCCGTGGATCCAACCAGCTTTGTTTTCAAGCTACATTCAGGAAAAAAAAGTAAGAAATCTACTTGTTGGGCTTTTTTTTTTTTTTTCCTTTCACTTGACAAGTTGAAGGATCCAAAGTAAGTAATAAATTGAATGAATTGGGAAAGCAGTTGGACGGCCGTTCCAAGCGGCGTTGGGGTATCGCATTATTTGAGTGCAGGACTGTGACCAGCTCTGGGCTCACACAGATTTTTCACTGCTGAAAGTGCTCCCTTTTGGCCCAGAATAAACCCTGGGATCTTGGATACAGTACAGGTGTTTTGGCCTGTTCCTCTGCTGTCACACTGGGCATTCAATTGAGCTAAAGACCACGGACAGCATTTGGATTTTCAGCTGTAATTTATTTGTTCTAAAATAAAAATACTCTAATTAGCAGACTCTAAATCGGCGTCAGCTACGCCAAGGTCAGTAAAGTAGTGTGAGTTAGAGAAGAGTCATTTACACCTGGATCCTACAGGAGCCAAATTCAAGTGTTTAATAATAATCAGGAATGACTCAAAATTTTCAGGGGTTTGGTTTCGGTTTTGCGTTCGGGGACTCATTGGGTTTGTGTGCCTGGTTTGACCTTGGCTTCTCAGCCTTTTGCGTATGGTCAGTGCGTGTACAGCTGTGGGAGCGAGGGAACAGGGTCCCTTTTGAGGGGATATTGAGATTTTTAGATCATTGTCCCTGTGGGAATGGAAGGAAGAAGCTGCACAGCGAGCGCGGCGGGTTCGGTTTGGCGGCAGTGCAGGGGTCCCTGCCAGCCGGGGGCACGGGCACAGTGCAGGTGCTGCACCCGTGAGCAGGGCAGGAAAAGCATCCCCAGCACTTCTCTTTCTTTGTTAGCAGACCAGGATGGGCTCCCCGTGCCCATCCATGTGTGTGTCCCGCTGGGTGTGCGTACCTTCCACGGGGAAATCGCGCTGAACGGAAGGGCAGCGGCTCAGGGACGGGCTGTGCTTCTCCACGGAGGGCCTGGAGGAGCTTTCCTGGCATTAATGGGACCTTGGTGTGTCCCATCAGGACACTGGGGTCCTCTCTGCTTCTCCCTGCCTGGGGGAACAGTCTGGCTGGCAAACCCACCACACTGGGGTGGGTGTGAGCCCCCATCCCGCCAGCCCCGGGGTGGGACGGGCTGTTTTGGGGGCCTGGGGAAAAACATACACTCCAAGGATCCTGTGTCCTTCTGAAACAGTTTTAATAATAAGAATAATAATGGTAATGAAAGGTTTCCATTATGGGAAGAAGCAAATACTGGGGCAGCAGATATTAACCCTTGGTTTCCCTGCCCACAGCGAGGACCCGTGGCGGGCAGCCAAGATGATCAAGGGGTACATGCAGCAGCACAACATCCCGCAGCGGGAGGTGGTGGATGTCACCGGCCTCAACCAGTCCCACCTCTCCCAGCACCTCAACAAGGGCACCCCCATGAAGACCCAGAAGAGAGCTGCCCTGTACACGTGGTACGTCCGCAAGCAGCGGGAGATCCTCCGCCGTAAGTACCCCTGGGAATGGCGGGGGAGAGGGGGGTCCCCGTGTCCCTGTCCTGCCCCTGGTGCCAGCACAGCCCCCGGGCTCCAGCTGTGCAGCACCTCCCCAAAACAGTTTTCCAAGTAAAACGAATTTAAGGTGTAGGAAAAGTGGGTGAGAGCCCCTGTTGGTGGCAGGGTTCCCCCCGGCTCATCCACACGGCTGAATTTCTGGGTATCTGTGTTTGTTAGAGCTGGGAAAGCAATTAATGATGGCTCACAGTTAGGTGCCTTTCCCACCTTTGCCCCTTTTCCTTGTTTTATTTCAGGCTGCTCATTTTTTTTCGACTAAGTGCAAAAAATTTAGAGAGAGAAAATTTAAAATCCTTGAATTGCTGCTGTCTGTGCTGTTTAAAATGCAGATTATTTTGACCAAGCACACAGACTATTCCTTTGTGCCCCTCTCCCACTCTTCCCTGCCCTGGGATCTGTCCTGTAGCTCTCAAAGCAGCCCTGAGTGGCACTGGCACTCCCCAGGAAAGGGCTCTGCCTCCCTCTCCCAAAAGGATGCAATATCCAGCAGAGGGGAAGTGCAGAAAAGGCTTCAGCACCAAATACCATTGCTCTGAAAACACACCTTGAGACGTTAGAGCAAACAGAGCCTGCTCCAGCCTTGCCCTGTGTTTCCCCCCCGTCACGGGGGGGAAAAAGCCATTATAAAAAGAGGGAGAATTCCCCTGCAAAACTGGGAATAATAAAACCCTCCCATTAATCTCCCTTTACTGCCGTGGTGACAAGAGCCGGGGCTGGGGCGGCCGCCGAAGGTCACCTCTGGTGCTGCCCGCCCCGGGCACGGGGCTGGCGTCCCACCACGCTGGGAGGGGAGTGGGAGGGGAGCTGTGGGTGAGCAGAGAGGGGCACCCTCTCGGGGGGCTTTAGCAGCCGTCCTGCCCAGCTCCTGGCTTGGAAAAATCCTCCCAAAACAAGTGCAGGCTGGCAAGGGCCCTGCCCATGAATATGCATGGCCATAGCATGCCCTGCACATGCCTCCCCATTAAACAGGGGTGGCAGCAGGCTGGCCCCTTCCCGGGATGGGTGGCAGGGAGCACCTGGCTGGCTCCAAAGCCTGCTGTGAGCTCGGGGTGCTGCGGGAGGGGTCGTGGGGGGCCCCCTCGGCGCGGGACAGTGACTCCGAGCGGCGGCTACAGGCCAGCTCACGTCTGCTCCTTTCTCTTTCAGAGTTCAACCAGGCAGTCCAGGGTTGTGGAAATATGACAGACAAAGGCAGTCAGGATCAGCTGCTGTTTCTCTTTCCAGAGTTCAATCAGCAGAACCAGGGGGCTGCCCAGCTCGACGATGCCTGCTCTGAAACCCCCAGCAAGAAGATGCGGCGCAATCGGTTCAAGTGGGGGCCGGCCTCCCAGCAAATCTTGTACCAAGCCTACGAGCGCCAGAAGAACCCCAGCAAGGAGGAGAGGGAGACCCTGGTGGAGGAGTGCAACAGGTAATGGCTGCTCCACACACCTGTGCTGCCCTCCCTGCCCACAGCCTCAGCCTTCCTTCTGAAAGCCACGGGAGATGCCGTGGGAGATGCCGTGGGAGATGCTGTGCTCACCACCCCAGCTCCCAGCTCGTGGCACAGCTTTGCCAAGCTGCCAGGCCTCTCCTTGCCATATTTTCCCCCTCTGGGAAATATGTCTGGGGCAGAGTGAGCTCCGTGCTTGGGCAAGGATGTGATGGGGATGCTGCAAGGATGATCCAGGGGACAGCACAGGGACGCTGCAGCGTTATCAGAGGGAGCGGGGTTGGCCTTTACAGCATGGCTGTAAAGAGAGCAGGAAGGGCTGAAACTCCCCCAGATTTGCTGTGTCCCGAGGCCCCTGCTTGCCCCCAGCAGCACCCTTGCTCCAACATGTCCCTTGCCCTCGCAGGGCCGAGTGTCTGCAGCGAGGAGTGTCCCCCTCCAAGGCTCACGGGCTGGGCTCCAACCTGGTCACCGAGGTCCGAGTGTACAACTGGTTTGCCAACCGGCGCAAGGAGGAGGCGTTCCGCCAGAAGCTGGCCATGGATGCCTACAGCTCGGGCCAGCCCCCGCACAGCATGAACCTGCTGCTGTCCCACGGCTCCCCGCACCACAACCAGCCCAGCGCCTCCCCGCCCAGCAAAATGCCAGGTAAGGCTCGCCCAGGGTGCTGGGGGTGACGGTGGCAGAGCTCAGGGGTGCTGTGTGTGCAGGGAGAGGATGTCACCCTGGTCCCTGCTGCAGCCTCGGGCAGGGATGGTGATGGAGAGCAGCGCTGCTGTCACTGCAGCGTTACGGCCACATGGCGAGGGCTGGATTTCCGCCACGCCGGGGATAAATCAGTGTTTGCTTGATTGGTTTAACTCACGGGAGTTCCGTGTGGGCTCGGCTGGGCAGGGAGAGGCTGTGCCCAGCAGGGCAGGAGGGGCTGCCCCGTGCCTGCCGTGTGGTGCCGGTGGTGCCAGTCCGTGGCATGTAGCCCACCGGGAGCCCTGGTTCTGGGGGTGCACAGGCAATGCCCGAGGGAAGGGGTGGCAGGGTGTCCTGCCGAGGTACCCCGGGCTGGGTGCGTGACTCTGCAGCAGCCCCGAGCCAGAGTGCAGGGACGTGGATGAAGAAAGCTGCCGGGGTGCAGGGTGACCCCTCCTCCTCCTCCTCCCCGCACCCAGGACTGGGCAGAGCTGAGCAGACCCCAAAAACCCCCAGGGGATTGAAGTGGGAGATAACCGTGGGGAGGGGGCTGCACACCGGGGGAGGGCGGGCAGGGGCGAGAACAATCCCCATCGCTCCCCATTGTTGGGAGAACAATCCCCATTGTCCCTTAGCTGCGCTCTGCAGCCCCGCGGGTGGCACAGGGGGCTCGGCCCGTGTCCCCCCTGCCCCGCGTCCCCTCGGACACAGCCACCTCCTGGAAATGACCCTGCCTGGCGTGTGTGACACGCAGCCAGCCGCTTACAAAGGCAAACCCGTGTGGCGGAGTGTCCCCGTGGGAAGGGCAGCGTGCTTGGGGACACTGCCAGCGGCGCTGCACACCGGCGCTCGGGTGTTGGCACCCCCGAGGGGTACCCGGGGATGTGCGCGGGCACCTCCCGGCCCTGGAGGAACCGGCAGCATCCCGAGGACCGGGATGTGACCAAAATGTGACCCTGCCCCAGGAATGCCCCGCACAATGGCGGGGACGGGGAGGACGTTTGCCCTGCTGTCAGCGGCTGATTGCTTACAAGGTGCCCTACAAGCACATTGTCAGCAGAATCAGCTGTTTTCGGTGTCGCGGCGGGCTTTACAATGCCCCACCAGCATGCAGCCCCGCATTGTCACGGCGTTGTCCCCCCGTGCATGCTTAATTGACAATTAAGCCGGGGCTTTGAACGGAGCCCGCTGCCTTTGATGTGCCCCCGGCCTGCCAGCGCACATGGGGCACCCCCCGAGAGCCTTTGTTTTCTTCTATTAGGGGACAGCAATTACTGTAACCGCGGGCATTTATCTCGGGGCTGGAGGGCCGTTAAGCCCCAACCTTTATTTTCCCGTCGGAGCGGTGCCAGCAGGGGCTGGCCGTGGCTATAGGGCCGGTGACAGCCCACCCCCAGGGGCTTTGAGCGGGGCAGGAGTGATGGCTGCGGAGAAGAGCCCCTCCGGAGGGGTCAGCAGGGCTCGGCTGCGGGAATTTCTTGGCGGTCGGTGCTTGTATCCATCCCGAGGAGGAGAAGATGGGCATGGCGAGGGGTCGCCGTGGGGTTTTAGGGCTGGTTTGGGGGCAGCAGGCAGGGATGGAGCTCAGCCGGGATTGCTTCAGGGCGCTTGGACCAAGCCGGGTCTGAGAGCTCCCAAAACACCGCCGGGTGCATCTCTGCTGGAACTCCTCCAGGAGATGTTTGGGGATCCCCTCCTGGCTGCCTGGCTGACCCCATCGTGGCTGTCCATGCTGGGATTTGAACTGTCCTTGCCCCGAGGTGGCGGCGTCTGGGCCGCTCAATGCCTTAACAGCTTAATGACAGCGCAGGGACACTGTCCCTGCCCCGCCGGCCGGGACATCCCGGCTGGAGTGCGGGGCAGCTGCAAACCTCTGCCGTGCCCCGCCACAAAGAGGGGTCGCCTCTCCTCGGGACATCAATGGGGTCCTGCAAAAGGCAGGGATGACAGCGGGGCAGGGATGAGAGCTGTAAAAGTCAAACATCCTCCGGCCTCTTCTTGGGGACTCATCTGTCAAGCTTCGAGCTGTAGTTTTTAACTGTTTGGAGGTAAATACTTAAAGCCTTTCTATCTCGGAGGCTCCTCTCCGAGGCTGGACTTTTCCCTTACTCTGGGTTTTATCAGCGATCTTGGTTCCCTGTTTGATTTGAAGGTCACTCGGGGCTTTATCTCGGTGCCATGGCGCAGACTCTGGCTTATGCCATTTTTATCTTCAAGAGCCCCGAAGACAATCGGGGCATTGATGAGATTAGGGGAAGCACCGCCCGCCCCCCGAACCCGCCCTGCATACAAAGGGCCGCCCTCCCTGCAGAGCCCAGCCCCACGGCCGGGGGGCACAGCATCCCTGAGCCTGTCCTGGGACATTTAGATACCTCTATAGATGGAGATAAACATAAAAATAACCCAGTGCCACCCCTGAGATCCTCCCTAAAACCCAAAGGGCAGTTGAAGGGCTTTAACTTTCCTTCAAAAGAAGAGCCCATCAGCAAACCCTCGCTCTGGGGTACCCTGGTTTGTACCTGGCTCCTGCCCGTGCTCCTGGGGGTGCTGGCTGTGCCTGGGACCCCGTGCCAGTGGCTGTAATATTTTACTGTCGGGCACATGGTGGGGCTCGGTGGGTACAGTGCACTGTTAGGAGCTTTTCCCTCTTTTATGGGGGTAATTAGAACTTTATGACAGCAGCGAAATGGGAGGGTCTAGTCCCCATAAACGGGTTTATAATGGATATAAACTATGCACCTCTGTAACTGAGCAAGATTAACACTTTAGGGACAATTTGAGTGGCAGCCCAAGAATCAGATGTGCCTCAGTGCTGCCTGGATCTGAATTTTGGGAGGGTGAAGTTGTCCCATCAGTGACCTGGCTGTCCATAGTGTCAGTGGGTGAAGCATCACTGAGTCCAGCATGTCCCCAAAAATTACACTTTGCTTTTCTCACCCCATTTTCACACCCTGGTCCGTGCTGGTGGCTGCATCCTGGAGGGTCAGGCGGAGCCAGAGCTGCATCCCCTCCACCACCAGATCACCAGAATTTTTGGGGTCCCTTTTGGGGTGTGGCATTGCTGTGATGTGCAGGACATTGGTGAAGGTCTGGGCAGAAGGGCAGCCTAGAGCTGGGGGAAGGGAGGTCGGGATGTGCTGTGGCACAGTGGCAGCAGGGCTCCTGCTGCATGGCAGTGACAGTTAAAAGTACAATGAGGGGTTTTAAAATACAATTTATTAATATCAAACATCACTTAAAGCAAAGCAGAACCACACTGCTTCACTGCTGGTGCCTGCCAAAGGCACGGGCCTGGTGAGCTCTGAGGAAATGGCACAAGGCTGTGATCAAAGTGATAAAGAGACTGATCCTTGCCCTAAACTCCCTCCACCACCCCCTTGCCCCCAAAAGCTGAGTCAGCAGGATGAGCGTGGCACCCCAGAGAAACTGGGAGGGGCTGGGGCTGTGTGTGGGAGCACAGGACCCCCACCCTGGGGCTGTCACTCTGCTGTCCCCCTCCATCGGCCGGAACAGGGTTAAGGCTACGGGAGCTGGACCCTGCGGCTTGTCTGGGGCAGGGGAAGGCAGTAAAACATTTCACAGCCTGTGCAGCTCAGGGGCCACACAATGGCCCGTCCCATAAACAGACTTTTATATTATGGCTGTAGCTCCAGTTAAAAAAAAAAAGCCTTGAGGAGGGGAGGCTCCACGGCCAGACCCATTCCCGGTGATCCCATGCAGGCTCCTCTCCTGAGCATCCACAGGAAGAGACCGAGGGGGAATAAATCCCTTTGCACAAGGGCTGCTTCCAGCTGTGGAGGCACAGGAGAGCAGCAGGAGAACCGTTGTGCTGGGCTCTGATGGCTGTCTGAGCCCAGCTCGTAAAGCCTGGATGCCAAAGCCCCGGCAGGAATCCTCCAGTCCTGGAGCTCACAGCTGTGCCCCTGCATTCATTCACCCGGCTCTGGGGAGCTCCCAGGGGCTGTGCTGCCAGGGGAGGGCTGGATCCCAGGGCTCAGTGATTGAGGGAGGCCTGGGGAGCTCAGAGAAAGGCACCCCCATCACCAGGGAGCTCCGAGTGTCCCAGCAGTGACAACAGCAGCAATGCCTTGTAGTGGCTTCCTGATATTAATGAGCCCAAATCCAAGCCAGCCCTGGGGACACGTAAATAATAACACCCCTCCCATTGTGGGGACGGGGAAAACCCAGTGAGGATGGATGTTTCCTACAGGGAGCCCTGAAGGCTTCTGCCTGCCCAGCAAGTGGCTTCTGAGCAGGGTCCTTGGTGGGGCAGCAGTGGCACTGCTGTCACCAGCCCCAGAGCCCAGCCTGGCTCTCCTGGGGAGAGATAATCTTCATCAAGACTCTTCATCAAGACACAGAGTCTTCAGTGGTTTTATCTAGAGACCCAAAATCTCAGTCCCCAGCCTATCTGGGAATCTGGGCGCTGGTTATTGTTCCTCCAACAATCAAAGCCTGAGCTTCAGAATCAGCATTTAACCTCTTGAGTGTTTTCAAGCCAACTTCACAGCTTTGGGTGGCTTGGCTCATGAGTTCCCACCCCCTCAGCTCGATAGGGCACGATTTTGCATTTAAAATAGACTTTTTTGTTGTTGTTCTTACTGAGCCCAGAAGAGCCTGAAGACAGCAGAAACTCTGATTTCTTTGCCAGAGGAGCCGTCTCTCTCTGGTCTATCTCTCAGATCACACCCAGAAGAAAGGGCTTTGTTTTATCTCCCCTGCCATTGTTTCAGCAGCCGGGATCCCGGCCCAGAGTGAAGCACCCTCTGCAGGGCCAGGAATGTGTGTGACAGTGCCCGGGTTGGGTAATGTTTACCCTGTTCACGGCAGGGACGTCCACTCGGGCAAATATCCACCTGCCAGAGGACATTCTTTTATTATCAGGGATAAAGGGGTTTGCTGGGAAATCATCAGGAACCAGACATGGTGAGGAGATTCCTATCTGTGGGTCGTGTTTAACCAGCTGATGGGGAAAATTCGGAGGCGATTACGGAGCGGCTGTGTTGTGGTTTTGGTGGAGGGTGTGGGTGGCTCTGTGCTTGGGCAGATGGTTTGGGAGCTGGGGGAAAGCTCCCGGACTCCAGTTCTGATTTCTTTGCTTTTCCTTGGTTCAGAGATTAATTTTAGAGTCGCCCTTAGAGCATCCTTCACCGAGCCAGCCACAGGCTGAGCCTGCCCTGTGATGGTCACTCTGAGGAGCTGTCCCCAGTGTCCTTGTGCAGTGGCCAGGGGTGGATGGTGCTCATGGTTGGCAAGGTGGGCTTTGCCACCATGGGATTTTTCCCCTGGAGAGCCATGGTTTGTCTGTCCATGGGATTTTTCCCCAGGAGAGCCATGGTTTGTCTGTCCATGGGATTTTTCCCCAGGAGAGCCATGGTTTGTCTGTCCATCATGCTTCAGTCCCAGAGAAGTTCAGTAAATCTGGCTGGAGCACAGGGCTGGACTCCTCCTAATAAATGGCTTTTCACCATAGCTGTCAAGGCAGCCCTGTAAAAGACACTTTTGTTTGCCGTGGGTTTTCCTCAGTTAATTATTTGTGATCTGTAGATGCCTTTCCATGACACATGGCTGATCATATGGTTATCAGTGCGGGGTGCTTGAGCCAAATTAAATATATTTATATAGAAGACCTGTGCTGGGGCCAGACTTCCCTCAGGGCAGTGGAGGGCTGGGGTCTGCTCTGGGGGTTGGAGTGTGTCTGATCCCTGTGCCTTGCTGCAGTGCCCTGTTAATCATACACTTGTGGAGAGGGCGTTGAGAGGGAATGGGATGCAGGAGGGCCTGAGACAACAGTGGGAGTCGTGGATGTGGGAGCTGGGGATGGCTGGGGCTGCAGGGGGAGCCTCAGAGGGGTCCCCTGGGGGTGCAGGGTCCCTCCCCACGCTGCAGGGTCCCCAGGCCAGTGTCCAGGAGCCACGGCAGCAATGTGCAGGATGGCTGTGAACTGTGCAAATGGAAACACGAGGGGTGCAGGGGGGTGTGGGGCTCCCTTTCCCCCCGTGGTGGGATTGCAGCTCCAGCCATAAACTCCTCCCTGTAGCTCCAGGAGATGGGGCCAGGGACAAGCTGGGAAGCGATGCTGGAGGAAGGGACACCCTTTCCCTGTTTGTCACTCACGGGTGTCACTTAGCAGCTGGCACACATCTGCATCCTCGTGCCACACACCGTGGCAGGGCTGGGGGCTCTGAGGGTCTCGGCACCACCCCGGTGTCACCGCAGGACACGAAACAACACGATGCAGACACGCTGCTGCTTTCAAGTTAGAAAAAGAGAAGTTTATTTTCTGGCTCTAACATTTATAGATTTCTAAAAGGTGGCAGTGGATTGGAGGGTGAAAGTGCTACTTCTCCATTGACACTGGATAAACCAACAGTCCACCAAATTTCTCCTCCTCTATGAAAAAACAATACAAAACACTAATTGGTTTACAAGAAGCGCGTAGAAGAGTTCGCTACAAAAAGCGCTTAAAAGAGTTCACCACAAAAACACAGACATCAGAAGGCTTAGGAAATCTTAAAAACCCAAAGCAGCAGCGTGGCACAGCCGTGCGGTGGCCGGGGTGATGCCAGGGCCGCGCTGTTTTGCAGGGGTGCGGTACAGCCAGGCGGCGAGCGGCGACGCGGCGTCCTCGGGGGCCATCAGCCACCACGGCAGCGCTGCCATGGTCACCACCAGCCAGGCTGTCCTGCAGCAGGTCTCCCCGGCCGGCCTGGACCCCAGCCACGGTTTGCTCTCTCCCGAAGGTAAAATGGTGAGTACACCTGGCCCATTGTGGCGAAGTTTATTTTCTGGCTCTAACATTTATAGATTTCTAAAGGTGGCAGTGGATTGGAGGGTGAAAGTGCTACTTCTCCAATGACACTGGATAAACCAACAGTCCACCAAATTTCTCCTCCTCTATAAAAAAAACCACAAAACACTAAGTTGTTTACAAAAAGCGCGTAGAAGAGTTTGCTACAAAAAGTGCTTACAAGAGTTCGCTACAAAAAGCGCGTAAAAGAGTTCGCTACAAAAAGCGCGTAAAGAAAAAACAATACAAAACACTAAGTTGTTTACAAGAAGCGCGTAGAAGAGTTCGCTACAAAAAGCGCTTAAAAGAGTTCACCACAAAAACACAGACATCAGAAGGCTTAGGAAATCTTAAAAACCCAAAGCAGCAGCGTGGCACAGCCGTGCGGTGGCCGGGGTGATGCCAGGGCCGCGCTGTTTTGCAGGGGTGCGGTACAGCCAGGCGGCGAGCGGCGACGCGGCGTCCTCGGGGGCCATCAGCCACCACGGCAGCGCTGCCATGGTCACCACCAGCCAGGCTGTCCTGCAGCAGGTCTCCCCGGCCGGCCTGGACCCCAGCCACGGTTTGCTCTCTCCCGAAGGTAAAATGGTGAGTACACCTGGCCCATTGTGGCGGCGGCGCTGATAAGATAAGAGGGCCCAGCGGGCAGAGCAAACACGCTTTCCCCCGGGTTTCACACGCGGCCCGGCTGAACAATGGGGCATTGTGGGGGCGTAAAAGAGTTCGCCACAAAAACGCAGACATCAGAAGGCTTAGGAAATCTTAAAAACCCAAAGCAGCAGCGTGGCACAGCCGTGCGGTGGCCGGGGTGATGCCAGGGCCGCGCTGTTTTGCAGGGGTGCGGTACAGCCAGGCGGCGAGCGGCGACGCGGCGTCCTCGGGGGCCATCAGCCACCACGGCAGCGCTGCCATGGTCACCACCAGCCAGGCTGTCCTGCAGCAGGTCTCCCCGGCCGGCCTGGACCCCAGCCACGGTTTGCTCTCTCCCGAAGGTAAAATGGTGAGTACACCTGGCCCATTGTGGCGGCGGCGCTGATAAGATAAGAGGGCCCAGCGGGCAGAGCAAACACGCTTTCCCCCGGGTTTCACACGCGGCCCGGCTGAACAATGGGGCATTGTGGGGGACCGGGGTGCCACTGTCCCCTCCGCCCGCCTGCGAGGCGGCGCTCCCGCTGGGACACCGAGGGTGCTGGAGGTGGATCTGCCATTGATCACGGGCTGAAGGCTCTGGGTGGATCTCTGTTTGCTTTCCCCTGCCCGTGACATGGGATCGATAAAATACTCATTCATTACTTTTTCCCTGAGCCCTCCCAAGTTTGGGAAAGGCAGAGGACAATCCCCTTGTCCCAGGGGATTGAAGCTGCTCATGCTGGCTCTGGCCCCACAGTTCCTAGCTCTCCCCATCCCCTGTGCCATGTCTTTGAGGCTTTTCTGGGCAGAGCTATCAGTGTCAGCATGGCAGGAGTGGAGATGGGACATCAGCATCCCTGTGGTGCTGGACATGTCCCCATGCTGGTGCTGCAGGGCCCGGGCACTCAGGGTGCCCCTTCCTTGTGCAAAGCCCCTGGAGGGGTGGGTGAAGGAGCAGGGCAAGGAGGGGGTACAGGGGTTCAGGTCAGGATGGGATGGGATGTGATAGCAGAGCACAGCCCAGTCCTGGGGCAGGCTGGCAGAGGTTTGCCTGCAGCTGCTGCTTTTCCGGGAATTTTTTTTCCTGCTGAAATCGAAAGTCAAACATGGCACTGGGTGACGGGGCCAAGCCGGTTCTTCCCCGGTTTTCACTTCCATTTTCAGAGGGCTGTCCCTCCTGGGCCATCCTGTCGGTCTCCTGGCTAAGCTGGGTGGCCATGGAGGGGCTCAATGTCCCCTCCCTCAGCTATGGCACCGTTTCATTGTCCCTTTCCTTCTGGCTGGAGAGGGTCTCCATGCAGCCCCTCGGGCTCTGGCACTCACCCTGCAAAGCCAAACGTCCCCTGCCAAGCCGGGGGGACATTGCAGAGAGACACCCCAGCCCCCCCAGCCCACTCCCTCTGCCCCAGCACGCCCAGCTCACCTCAGGGTGTGTTGAGCCTCATAACCCTCAGCCTGGAAGCCATAAAATGAGTCAGGGATAAAGGCGGCGGCAGCGGCGGCACCGCGTGCCCGGGGTGGGGGTCCCCAAGGACCAGGCAATGCCAGCACCCCCTGCCAGCTCCTGGCACCGGGGCAGAGACCCCCAGATGGGGCTGGGCAGCGCAGGAGGAGGGAAGGGAGCAGATTAAACTGGGAAAAGGTACAGTGCAGCAGAAGAGCCCTGCTGAGCTCTCCCCAAGGCACAGGCAGTGCCCAGCGCCGTGGGGACCCTGCGGGACCGCGGCTCTGCCAGCTTATCTCTGATCTCCAGGCAGGGCTAGCTGGTGCTTGCAAGTGATTTAATAGAAATATGCTGTAGGCTGTGGTTTCTAGTAAGTAAACATGTGCCTTTAATGCCTCACATGAAACAAGGAGCTGCCAAGGAAGTTGCTGCATCTTTCAGGAAGGAGCGTTACTGAGGCTCCAGAAATCTCTGGTGGCTCACTCTTTCATGTTCTGGTGTTTGCCTCAGCTGTGTTAGTGCCAGAGGGTCTACCCTGAGGGTCCAGTGCCTGAGGGTCTTTTCCAGTCATGCACAATCCAGGTGCAGTGCTCTGGGGCTAAACACCCCGTGAGAGGAGCCAGGGCTGCAGGCGAGCGGCGTGTGCTTGCCGGGAGCTGTTTGACTTGTGCAGCCGAGTGTGGTGTAACCCGGCCTTGAAGGGACTTTGAAAGTGGAAAATACCGGATCAGGAAATGTGAGTCACTCCCGGGCTTTGGAATTTATTGATGGATTTGTTTCAATTGCTATCTCCAGCTCACATGTGCAAAATAAACAAGGTGCTCGGAACTGGTGTCCAGAAATGTCACCTGAAGGGCTGCAGGGATGGCTCTGAGCTGGGATTGAGGTCACTCCGTGCAAGTGGGCTAACAACAGGAATTAGGGGAAGGTGCAGCAATTAAAGAAATAAGGCACTTACGTGTCCTGGGGAGCAGCTCCAGTCCTCGCAGCACATGCCAAGTGCCTTTGTCTGATCCCTAAACTTTGGCCCGAAACCCTGGCTCTGGCTCTGGCTGTGCACACCCGCCCCGTCTCACCAGTATCCTGCCAGATTGGTGACTAAGATCATCACCACGAGGCCCTTCTAATCTGCCTTCTGTCATTTTTCTTAATTTTCCTGAGTTTCTCAGTCCCACTTTCCCCTACAAGCAGCATGGTTCGAAGTTAATGAGTGTTGGGAGCCCTCAGCTGTCCCTGCGGGCTGGAGCTTGGACTCGGGGTACAGAGCAGCAAAGGCTTGGGATGTGCCGTGTTCCGGTGCCATGCTCCAGTGGAGCTGGAAGCCAGTGCCAGCACAGCCTTTCCCAATCTGTTTTGCTGTACATTAACATGAAGTTGAGGTGCTGCACTCAGGGTCTGCAGCCCTGTAGGGGCAGCCTGCTCCCCCTCTGAGGAGGGGGCTCTGCTGATGCCCCCATGCAGTGGAGGAGGGGGCTGGGGGCTCTCTGTGGCTGTGCTCTGACTGTGCCCGTCCTGCCTGGCAGATCTCCGTGTCGGGGGGCGGGCTGCCCCCGGTGAGCACCCTGACCAACATCCACAGCTTGTCCCACCACAACCCGCAGCAGTCCCAGAACCTCATCATGACGCCGCTCTCGGGAGTCATGGCCATCGCCCAGAGTAAGCGCACCCCGAGCTCACCTCTGTGCCCTGCCCCTGACAGGGGTGACGCTGCCTGCTCCTGCTGACACCCTGCTCTGCTCTGTCCCTGCTCCCAGGTCTGAACACCTCGCAGGCTCAGAGTGTCCCCGTCATCAACAGCGTGGCTGGCAGCCTGGCAGCCCTGCAGCCGGTGCAGTTCTCCCAGCAGCTGCACAGCCCACACCAGCAGCCGCTGATGCAGCAGTCCCCGGGCCACATGACACAGCAGCCCTTCATGGCCACCGTGACCCAGCTGCAGAACTCACACAGTAAGGCCTGGGGGAGATGCAAAGGGCCCCTGCATGAATTCAGATGGGAAATCAGCTTGTGCTCTCCTCCTGCTCTGCCCTGGGCTGCTGCCCCTCTCTCGTGGTTCCAGCCCATGGCAGGCTCAGTGGTGCAGGCTGGTCACATCCTGCCTCATCTCTTCCTCCCTCTGGTCCAGCCACAGCCCCTCAGCCCCACGGGTTTCTGGGGGTGAGCTGCTGCCTGAGGATGCAGTGGCTTGGAGGGAAGTGGTGGGTTCTTCCCTTGGTCTGTTTTACCCCATCCCCATCTCCCTGCTGCCCGTTCCCATCCCTGGACCTGCCCTGGCGGGGGCTGGGGTGGCTTTTCCCTGACCTGTGCCCCTCCTGTCCGCAGTGTACACACACAAGCAGGAGCCTCCCCAGTATTCCCACACCTCTCGCTTCCCCTCGGCCATGGTGGTGACGGACACCAGCAGCATCAGCACACTCACCAACATGTCTTCCAGTAAGCAGGTAATGGCCCACAGGGCTGGCTGAGGGGCCACGGGCTGGGGCTGTGAAGGTGGAGTGCAGCTTTACCCACCCTGGATGTGGGGCTGGAGGTGGGAGCAGCAGAGACCCCGTCCTGCTGCCCGTGCTCCACTCCTGTGGGGAGCTGAGGATGAGAACCCCATTGCAGCCCTTTCATGGCTCCAAAACACCTGCTTGCAGGGGGTGTGATGGGGATTTGGGTGATTTTGGCTAGCACTTTGTGGTACCAGCCAGGCCCTGCTCATCCCTGGGCCAGCCCCATGAGAGTGGGAGCATCCTGCTGGGGCTGAGGAGGTAGAACCAAGCAGGCTCTGCTGCCCATGTCCAGGGGGATCAACCCTGGTCGGAGTCAAGTGGAGTCCAAGGCTCCCCAGCTTCCCCCAGCCCATAAACCTTTATCATCTGCCCACTGCAGGTGTAAGGCCGGACTTATCCTGGTTCAAATCAGGTGTGTGAGGTTTTCCTTAGACAATAGTCCCTTTCTGAGAGCCAGCTCTGGGGACTGTGGGAAATATGTGGCCCTTATTGATCGCTAGATAAATAAGAGAGAGCCTTGAACTTGCATTCAGATAAACTTTCTTCCCAAGGTTTGACAGGGGACAGGAAAAAAATGTCTGCAATGACCACAGAGTAAATACAGCGTGGCATTGCTGCGAGACCCCCCCAGCATCGCTGCGGGACCCTTGGCGAGGGCGAAGGAAGGGGCTGGGGCTGCAAAGGGGAGACATTTGGGGTGCTTGGGAAGGGGTCACGAAGGCCACCCCCCCGGGGATCCCACTCTGGGCAGGTCTCAGGGTGACCGCTCAGGCACGGCCGCCCCTCCGAGCTCCATTTCCTCCGTGCAGCTTTATCAGCCCATCTGCTGCGCGCTCAGCCCGAACTGCCCCTGATTAATCCAGCTCTCCTGCCTTTGATGCCGGGCTGGCCGCGGCAGCCCCGGGACACAGGAAATGTCCCTGGCAGGGAGATAGAGCCCGGCCATCCCCGCTGCCTGCGGGCCCTGCGATCACCCTACCCTGACCAGCCGGGCTGGGGCTCACGGGCTTTCTGCCTCCATCACGTTCTTGCACTTCCATTAAAGCAGGAGGAGGTGTCAGGGCTCAGGAGGGGGGATGTGGGGCCAGGACCCTTCACCTGCTGTGGTGAAGGGGTACCCACCCCCCCTTTACCCCCAGTACATGATAAACATCCTGCAAGCACCCGGGCAGGATGTGACCTGTCTCCAGCAGCGAACCCTCCCAGCCCCCAGGGTGTCTTTTCCTACCAAGCATTCTGTGCCCAAGCTACAGTTGGAAAAATCTATCTTTGGACATGGATTTCTTTCTTGGTGGTCAGCAGTTTCATTAGCCAGAGGTGAATGAAGTGTGACACACAGCATAGGGGCCCCATAAATGCTGCTCATCACACAAAGTGCTCAAATACCTGAATATTTTGGGTAATTTGGGTTTCTATCATTGACTGGGGCTATCAGGGGCTGTGCCCTGGATCCTCCACACTTGGAATAAGGCAGGCAGCCCCCACCAGACCCCAAAGCTGTTCCGTGGTGGAGGTGGCTGCTCCAGGCCATGCTGGGGGACAGAGCTGCAGGGAGGTCCCTGGTGACCCCCAGCTCTCCCCTGGCTTGCTGTGGGTCTCTTATCAGATGTTGTTATTAGACCTGGAAGGGGCAAATACCTCCCTGTTCCTTTGACAACGCTTGAGGCCGAGCCACCACGTTTATTACGTTGGCAAACACCTGATAGCCACGGCCAGTCCCTAATGACATGTCACGGGAGGCTCCTGGCGTCTCCTTATCTCCGCCTGATGATGTTTGCTGTGCCCACAAGGTCACCCCACCCCTGCCCCCCGCCCACCGCCGACTGGGGGGACCCCAGGGATGGAGAGGGATGGGGAAGGGGCCTCTGCAGTGGGATGGATGTGGCACGGGGGGTGCTTGGCTCTGTCCCTGGAGGTGAGAGCGCTGCTGGGGACAGCGATGAGCCCCCGGCGCCGCTCCCACCCCGGCCGAGCTCAGCCTCACGCCTGGCTGCTCCCGGGCTGCCTGGCACAGCCTGGGCACAAACAGGACCTTTTCAAAGTATTATTATTTTTGGGAGGGGGTGGCAATAGCTGGCTAAGAAAGTATTTTCCCACTGCCTCCCCCACAGGGGTGCCAGGGAGGGCTCGGGGCTGAGCAGGGCAGCACCGAGGCGGTCACGGAGCAGCGCAGGAGGTGATGCCACCAAATGCTTTGTGGCGCTGCCTCCTCCTCCTCCTCCCCGCCTCGTTCCCCGGCGCCGCTCACTGCGCTGCTCTCTCTCCCTCCCCAGTGTCCCCTGCAAGCCTGGTGATGCTCCACACCTCGCTGCTTTTGCACATAGCAACGGGATCTTATTTTCCACGCCATCCCGCCGGCGAGCTGCGCTCACAGCCCGGGAGTCGCCTGCCGGAGCACAGCCCAGCAGCGAGGAGCCCGGCACGGAGCCGGGGCTCGGGGCTCCCCGCGCCCTCCCGGGGACCTGCCCGGAGCCGCGGCGCCCAGCCGGGACCTGCCTCTCCATCCCTCCACGCAGGGTTTCCAAGATGTGTCCTGGGGATTGTTTTGCTGAAGTGTTTGCCTTCCAAGAGGCTCTCCCGAGGAGCAAGGCACGAGCTGTGCTGGGAACTGGCAGAAGGGGAAGATGGATCATGTTTAAGTTGTACTCCTCCACTCGGACTGAGAGGGACCGGGGTCTGTTACTTGGCGTTTGGAGGGAGGAACTGCATGTGTTGTTGAACTGAGCCAATTAAACTGTAAATATAGGTACAGTCTGCTCCATCCTCCCCCCTCCCCACTCCTATACATAGAGATTTATATAAAAAAGAAGTAAATTTTGTCCAATGGATGTAAACTACTGTAATTAAGTGCAATTCCCCCATCTGTATATATTGGTCCTGAATATCTTCTTTTTCTCTTTTTTTTTTTTTTTTTTTTTTTTTTTTTTTTTTTTTTTTTTTTATGGTAAAGGTCAGAGCTGAGGATGGTTTTGGTTTTGTATTTCTCTTTTTCCTTTAAATGAGTTAATTCCAGTCCTGGGGCTGGCAAGGACCCTGGTCAGGCAGCACTGGGCTCTGCTGTGCAGGAGGACAGGCAGACATGTGTCCCCTGCACGGTGACATCCCACGTGAAGGAAGGGCACAGGGTGAGCTGGCAGGACCTGGATGATCCATGTGGGGACAGCTGCGACTATGAATTAATCTCAATGGACTTCCCTGCTTTTGGGGACTCTGAGGTGGGCTCTGGTGGGCTGGGGAAGGACTCGGCAGCCTGGTGAGCACACCCAGCTGCTGGGAAGTGTCAGCAGCCCCCAAGTGAGCCTGGAGGATTTGCTGCTACACAGTGAATGAGGCCACACGGAATTCTGATGGGATCTCCCCCGGATGGGTTCAGAGACTCTCCCTTTTCTCCTCCCTCAGGGCACAGAAGGGGTTGTGTGCCCAGTCACTGCCTCATCTCCTGCCCAGTGAATGGCCAGTACAGGTGGCTTCTGTCCACCTTCAGCAGTTGATGATGAACCTTGCTGGTTCCACCCTTAGCAGTGCACAGAGTGCTCTCCTCCTCGTGGTGCCCTGCATGGATGGATGGACGGACAGATGGATGGATGGAATATGGGCTGTGGTGTGAACGCTCCAGCTGCTGCCCTCTCTCAGCTGGCACCAGCTCCTGCATGGAAAGCTCTGCAGAAACATCTCCAGCTTGTGAATGATCCCAGCTCTGTGGTGAGGGCATGTCCAGCCCCTCAGGTAGCTGCTGAGGACACACACCAGAGCCCTGGAGGAGTTTGGGTGCCCAAGTCCAACCTCCCAAAGCCAAGGAAGCTGTTAAGGGCATTGTCCACCCTCTGTGAGACACGAGCTCCTCTGTACCTGCTCCCCTCTGTAAATGGATCTAATGCTCCCCAGTTGTGCTGATTTTTCATTAACTTTGCGGCACGTGCCAACTGCTGAGAGGGATTTCCAGAGGTGGACAGCAGCAGAGGTGCCCATGGACAGATGGCCATGGTGAGAAGGAGAGCACTGGATGCTCTCTTTGGGCTGACAAAGGCTCTTTGACTCAATTGTGTGGTACAGTGGGACCCTCACCCTCACTGGGACTGACAGGAGCTGCCCACCGGTGAATAAGTCATCAGGAATTTGGAGGCCAATATTCAGAATTACATTTAATTTAATGTATACCATAATTAAACACCATTTCTTCTGAGTCCTTGCTGCTGTGTGGTCTGTGAATTCCACAGTGACCATCCGTGGTGGTTTGCCAGAGGTGGGGCTGACGGGGACACAGTGGCACGTCCCTCCTGCTGTCCCTTGCAATGACCATCTCCATTTATACCTGCCTGCGTGTGGGGAGTCCAGGTTTTCCTCTGAACCCCCAGGTGTCAGCCAGGAGGCTTTCGGAGGTGTGGAGACCCATGTCCTCACCCTCCTAATGATGCCCTAATGATGCTGCCCTTAGCCCAGCAGTGCCTCCCTCATTCCCTGCTGGCTTTAGCAGCCCGGTGCTAAGCAAACCAATTAGGAGGGGAGTGCCAAAGCCAAGCCCCATCCTCTGTGGTTGCTGAGCCCCAGGGGTTGGTGGCAGGGTGTGCTCCAGGGGCTGGAGAGCTTTTGAAGATCCTTGATTGTGAAGAGCTAACAGAGCTGAGTGACTCTGAGCACAGCAGTGGAAAAGGGTGGAACTTTTTGTGAAGTTAATGTTGATGTGAAGTAATGTGAGGCTTTCCCTGGCTGATGCAAACCCAGGTTGAATTGGCCCTGCAGAGGGAGGAATGGACAATCCAGGGGGAGGCAGGTGGGAGAAGGAGGCACGAGAGCTGCTGCAGCTGAGCTGATGCAGTGCCTTTTGGGAATTGATTTCTGCACCGGCTGTAAAAGAGTCACAGACTGAAAGGATGGAGCTTGGGGTGTGAAGAACCCTTTGGGAAAAGGTCCAGGGTCAGTGCTGCCCTGGTAAGTGAAAACCTTGGGAAAAGGAGGCTTTGAGAATTGACCCCACCAGAGAGGGATGTGGTGAAGGAAGAGGGGACAGAGCCAAAAAACAAGGGGGGAAAAGAGCAGAGGATACAAACAAATGAAGACACAGATGCAGCAGGTGACTCCCACGGAGCACAGCGTGATGAAGCAGACAGGATAAAATCTATAATGTGAGTAGAACAAATGATTAATTACAAATACTTTGCCCAGAGGTGTGGGTTTCTGGAGCTGCTGAACAGTGACTGTGTGCTGTCACTTCCCATCCCTGGAATGGGGGAAGCAGGATGGGCTGCTGAGGGTGCTGTGGGTGCTACCCATACCTGCATGGGGAGAAAGCTTCCTCTGATTTTGAGTTAAAAATCAGGCTGAGGAAACACTTCTGAATGGCAAAAACCACACAAATCTCTTGAGAGCAGCCTCTGCAGCAGCTGGGCTGGGGCTGGGACTGTCCCTGGACCTCACCTTGCTTGGAGAAGCCCTGGGTGCGGTGTTTGTTCCCACAGGTGCCCTGGCTGCCTCATTAAATTGCTGGAAAATGCCATGTCATGTCAAATGAAGCTCCTGGAAGATATTTTTTTCCTCCTGTTGCTGTCGGGCACCTGGTGTTTGTGTCTGATGCAGCTGTTATGGGGCAAAGAAACCAGCAGAGCCATGACAAAGTTCATTTATGACCAACACAGTTTTACAGGGCCGAGTGATTATTTTACAGTTCAAAGCTGCTTACAAGGGAATTCCTTGCACGTGAGGACCCACAGGTTGCCACGAGGCTTTAGCATTGTGTTTTCATCACTGTGGGAGGAACGGAGACAGGGAAACCTGTCCAGGGCTGGGGGCCTGGCGCCTGGGTGCCTGTCCCCAGGTGTGTGACAGCAGCCTGGTGCCCACCTGGCTGCCAGGGCAGTGCTGGGGCTCAGCTGCCAGCTGGGCTGGCACGGGCCAGCAGCAAACACTGGGGTGCTCAGGGAGTGCCAGGTCACCCCTGTGGTGCTCTGCTGGCCGGGAAGGCATCGGATGGGCTCTCTGGACACCGCAGCGCAGCCGGGCCGTGTCCGGCCGTGCGTGTCTGTGCACTGAGGAAGGCGCAGGGCACAGGAGCGCGGCTCACACGGCCGGGCCTTCCGGACCCGTTCTGCCAGTCCGGCCGGTGCCCGGCTCTGCCGGGAGTGTCGGCGGCAGCGGGGCCGGGTCGGGCCGGGCTGTGCCAGGCTGTGCAGGGCCGGGCTGTGCGGGATCAGGCTGCGCGGGGCCGGGCTGTGCCAGGCTGTGCGGGATCAGGCTGTGCCGGGCTGTGCCGGGCCGGGCTGTGCGGGGCCGGGCCGGGCCGTGCCGGGCAGTGCCGGGCTGTGCGGGATCAGGCTGTGCAGGGCCGGGCCGGGCTGTGCGGGGTCGGGCCGTGCCGGGCTGTACCAGGCTGTGCGGGATCAGGCTGTGCGGGGCCAGGCTGTGCCAGGCTAGCTGTACGGGGCCGGGCCGGGCTGTGCCAGGCTGTGCGGAGCTGGCTGTGCCATGCCGGGCTGTGCCAGGCTGTGCGGGATCAGGCTGTGCGGTGCCGTGCCGTGCCGGGCTGTGCGGGATCAGGCTGTGCCGGGCCGGGCTGTGCGGAGCCGGCCGTGCCGTGCCGGGCTGTGCGGGATCAGGCTGTGCCGGGCCGGGCTGTGCGGAGCCGGCCGTGCCCGGGGCAGGACCCGCAGCCGGAGCTCTCCCTGTTCCCGGCGCTGATCCCACCGCCCGCTGCCCCGCCGTGCCCGCAGCAGAGCTCCACCAGCCCGTGGCCAGCTCTGATGGGGCACAGTGCGAGCCAGAAGAGCGGCAGAACAGCCCTGGAACAGTCTGCTGTCCTGAGCCAATACACTGCGCCCAAACACTTCAAAAGGCGCTCAGCAGCCAGAGGAAGCCGCTCTGCCTGCTCCAGTGTTTGCGGTCGCTCCTGCAGCTCCGGGCGCTGCCCTGCCCAGCCCCGGGCTGCCCGAGCTGCCAGGGAACAGTGAATCCTGCAGGATGCTTCTCCCCTGCTGCAGCCCCCAGCGAAAGGAGCAGCGCAGGCAGAGCCAGAGCCCTGGAGGAGCCACCAGCACCGGCAGGGAGAGGTCTCGGAGCCCCTGGACTCTATTTCTCTGATCCACAGAGGAAATTTAAAAGTCTGAAAACTCAAATGTGCCCTGGAGTTGTCCTGTCCCAGTGTAGGCGTAATGCAGAGCCATGGAAAATCAAAGCCTCAGGCAATTTACGCTGTCTTCTAATTCAAGGAACTTTGATTTTACTTTTCTACTCAGCAAAGCTAATCCTCTTCTCTGTAATTAATATGCTGCTCAAATGGATTCTTAATTACAGATAAATCACA